TAATGTTAAACTAGACAATAATCTTTCACTTGTCCATTTTAATTGTAGAAGTCTTTATACAAACCTTAATAAAATTATAGATTACTTAAATACATTAAAAAGTCAGTTTGATATTATCGCCTTTTCTGAAACATGGTTAAATGCGGTCAAAGGTTATGATTTGGGAATTGATGGATATAGTTTGTATCATGTTGACAGACCGGGAAAACGAGGAGGAGGTGTGGCATTGTGTGTTAAAAAAACATACACTTGTAAGATTGTTGAAAGGATGTCTGTGGCTATTGAAGGTCTTCTAGAATGTGTGGCAGTGGAGATTAATTTGGAAACAAAGCAAAAAATAATTATTGCTTGTGTGTACAGAGCACAAGGCTCAAATGTAGAAGTATTTAAAGACAAACTCACTGAACTTATAGATTGTACAATGTTAAACAAGACCATGTGGTTATGTGGTGACGTTAATGTTGATTTAATGAATCCTCAAGGCCTTACAGCAACCCATCATTTTTTAAACGAAATGTACAGCAGAGGTATGTTTCCAGTGATATCACAACCCAGTAGAGTGACACGAACAACTTCAACATTGATTGATAATATTTTTATCAATAATATTGACACTACTTTCCATAGTGGTCTGCTATTATGTGATAGCAGCGATCACTTACCAGTTTTTATTGTCTGTGGCCTACAAACTGGGAAGAAATTTAGTGATATTGATAAGGTTAAATACACTCGAATTCGGACGGAGAAGGAAATAAGCTCATTTAGGAAGGATTTGATTAACCAAGATTGGAGCAAAGTTTTTGTAGAGGAAGTTAATAATGCTTATGAGGTCTTTCTGAATATATTTGTAACCCTTAATAATAAAAATTGTCCCTTAAAAATGGGTAAAGTGAATAAATTTAACAAAAAACCATGGATAACCAGCGGGTTACAGAAGGCCTGTAAAAAGAAAAACAAACTATATCGTGATTTTATAAAATATAAGTCTAGTAATCATGAAATTACATATAAAAGATATAAGAATAAGTTAATAACTATAATGCGTCAGGCAAAAAAGGATTATTATAAAAACAAATTATATGAATACAAGACCAATATTAAAGAAACTTGGAAAATTTTAAATAAGGTTATGAAGCCAAATTCTCAGAGTAAAAATTTACCTGAGTATTTTGAGCACAAAGGAAAGGTTATCAATGATGGAACAGATATTGCAAGTGAGTTTAATTCCTTCTTTGTCAATGCCGGACCTAATATTGCGAAAAGTCTTGAAAAATCCAATCATGTAGAATGGTGTAGTAGTGCGACAGGAGGTAGTAGAATCTTACAGTCAATGTTTCTCAATGAATTTACCGGAACTGAAATTTTAGATATTGTGAGAAAGTGCAAAACTAAAACATCTTGTGATGGTGATGGAATAGATATGAGCATTGTAAAAAAAACTATAGATTGCATACTTCAACCTCTAACTTATATTTTCAATCTTTCTTTTAGTTCAGGTGTTTTCCCTCAAAAGATGAAGACTGCTAAGATAATACCTATTTTTAAAAAAGGAGATAAACATGAGTTTAATAATTATCGACCTGTTTCAATACTTTCGCAGTTTTCTAAAATAATAGAAAAATGGTTTACTCATAAATTAGATTTATTTTTGGAAAAAAATGATTTACTTTTTGACTATCAATACGGATTTCGATCCAATAGATCAACTTCCCTTGCACTAATTCATTTAACTGAAGAAATTCTTGCTGCAATGGACAAAAAACAGTATTTTGTGAGTATATTCCTGGATTTACAAAAAGCGTTTGACACTGTCAACCACAACTTATTGTTGACAAAACTACAACACTATGGATTACGAGGTCAGACATATAAATGGCTTGAAAGCTATTTAAGTAATAGAAGCCAATATGTTCAATTTAAAAACTATAACTCGGACTGTAAAACTGTTGTATGCGGAATTCCCCAGGGTTCAGTAATTGGCCCTAAACTTTTTATATTATTTATTAATGATATATTTGAGGCTTCCAAAGACATGAATTTTTTGTTGTTTGCTGATGACACAACTGTGTTTAAGACTGGGACAGATTTAAATGAATTAATGGCCACTATTGAAAAGGAAATGGTAGAATTAAAAAAATGGTTTGATTATAATAAATTGTTTCTAAATTGGGATAAGACAAATTATATGGTTTTTGGAAAAAAGGGAAAACAGGGATGCACAAAATTAGTTATTGAGAATGTAAATATTGAATGTGTCTCAGAAATCAAATTTTTGGGAGTTATCCTAGACAGCAAACTTAGCTGGAAGCCTCATATTGAGCATATCAAAGGTAAAGTTAGTAAAAATATTGGTATTCTTTATAAAGTTAAACACATATTGGATGAAGCTTCATTACAGCTTCTATACATAACCTTAATTGTTCCATATTTAACATATTGTATCGAAGTGTGGGGTAATGCTTGCACCAGTTATACAGAAAGGCTTTTCTTACTTCAGAAGAAAGCGATAAGAATTGTGACTTATAAAGGTTTACGAGACCACACAAACAAACTGTTTATAAAATTGCAGACCTTAAAAATTAAAAGAGTTGGTCATATTTAAAATACTACAAATTATGTGGAAAGTGAAAAATAACTTGGTGCCAATACATATTCAAAACAAATTCATGCTAGTTACAGACAGTAACAACAGAAGAAAAGGTAATTTTTGTGTACCATATTCACGCACCTCACAAAAACAAAAAGGGTTTCTTGCAATTGGGATCAATTTATGGAACTCTTTGGACATTGTGCAAAAAACATGTAACACGATTGTTGAATTCAAAAAAATGTATAAAAAAAATGCTCTTAGAAAATACGAAGGCAGTGAAGCATAAGAACCAAGGTTTGACAAATTTGAAATTGTTAATTATTTAGATGTGAAGTAATATTGTAGCCTACCTCGATAAAAAAAAAAAAAAAAAAAAAAAAAAAAAAAAAAAAAAAAAACGGCGAGCCATCTGTTTTGTGTCAACTAAGATTATTGAAAAAAGGGGCATGAAATTATAAGACTAGGTCTTCCTCATGCTCCTATTCAGCATTGAATGTTATTATTTTGTTGTTGATGTGATTAATATTGTGTCTGTAATAACATCATGACTGAATAAAGAACTTGAATTGAATTGAATTGAATATATTCACAATTCCTCATAATTCGTGGTGTGAATTGTGTATATATATGCCCTGAACCGACGTGTATGCTGTACGACCCCTCGTTGGGTGATTTATCTATGCAAGGACTCGGCTCAAACTATATTCGATAATTTGTTGATCAGAGATTAATAACTGTTGAATATTTATCCCCAAAATCAAAACTGACTAAAGAGCTTATGACCCAGATTCCTTACACATGTATGTATGTATGTATGTATGTATGCATGTATTTATGTATGTATGTATGTATGTATGTATGTATGTATGTATTTTTTATGTATGTATGTATGTATGTATGCATGTATTTGTGTATGTATGTATGCATGTATGTATGTATTTTTTATGTATGTATGTATGTATGCACTATTCAATGTATGCATGTATGAATGTATGTATGTATGTATGCATGTATGCATGTATGTATGTATGTATGTATGTATGTATGTATGTATGTATGTATGTATGCATGCATGTATGTATGTATGTATGTATGTATGTATGTATGTATGTATGTATGTATGTATGTATGCATGCATGTATGTATGTATGTATGTATGTATGTATGCATGTATGTATGCATGTATGTATGTATGTATGTATGTATGTATGTATGTATGTATGTATGTATGTATGCATGTATGTATGCATGTATGTATGTATGTATGTATGTATGTATGCATGTATGTATGCATGTATGTATGTATGTATGTAGTATGTACCGTATGTATGTATGTATGTATGTATGCATGTATGTATGTATGTATGCATGTATTTTTGTATGTATGTATGCATGTATGTATGTAGTATGTACCGTATGTATGCATGTATGTATGTATGTATGTATGTATGTATGTATGTATGTATGTATGCATGTATGTATGTATGCATGTATGTATGCATGTATGTATGTATGTATGTATGTATGTATGTATGCATGCATGTATGTATGTATGTATGTATGTATGCATGTATGTATGTATGTATGTATGTATGCATGTATGTATGTATGTATGCATGTATGTATGTATGTATGTATGTATGTATGTATGTATGTATGTATGCATGCATGTATGTATGTATGTATGTATGCATGCATGTATGTATGTATGTATGTATGCATGTATGTATGTATGCATGCATGTATGCATGCATGCATGTATGTATGTATGTATGTATGTATGCATGTATGTATGTATGTATGTATGTATGTATGTATGTATGTATGTATGTATGTATGTATGTATGTATGTATGTATGTATGCATGTATGTATGTATGTATGTATGTATGTATGTATGTATGTATGTATGTATGCATGTATGTATGCATGTATGTATGTATGTATGTATGTATGTATGTATGTATGTATGTATGTATGTATGTATGTATGTATGTATGCATGCATGCATGCATGCATGTATGTATGTATGTATGTATGTATGCATGCATGTATGTATGTATGTATGTATGTATGTATGTATGTATGTATGTATGTATGTATGTATGTATGTATGTATGCATGTATGTATGCATGTATGTATGTATGTAGTATGTACCGTATGTATGCATGTATGTATGCATGTATGTATGCATGTATGTATGTATGTATGTATGCATGTATGCATATATATAGGTATGTATGTATTTTTGTGTGCATGTATGTATGGATGTATGTATGTATGCATGTATTTTTATGAGGGGCCGTACAAGCCAAAATTCATTCTTCTACTGTCACACACATACATTCTCCATTCACATACATACATTTCTACTCTCACACATGAAAATCCTATTAGTCTGAAGTCTCACCTTTGACCTCAAAAGTCATTTTAACGCTTCCCCATTCGGTCTTCTGTCTGGATAAGAGCCGGAACTCCAGCGGAGCTTCAGGAGAGACTTCAGGAGCCGGGAGATACCAGTTCTTCCTGAAACAGGGAGAGAAAGACATCATGAGGTTCAACCTTCCGGTCTCGCTCTCGAATCAACACACAAGTGGTGTAAACTGCAGTTCCTCCACTGGCCTCTAGAGGCCGGCTGCAGAAAAGACTCAATCCCATAGACTCGCATGTTAAAATGACCAAATTTACAGCAGAAATAAACATGTTTACAGTCTGGAGCAAAAAGTGGTTTTGGTCTATATAGATAATTTTGCCCTTCATGACGACTGTGAGGAAGATGAATTTTTTTATAACTCATCCATTTAAATTATATTAAGTCTTAAAGTTCAGCATAATTAAGGGCGTGGCCACTTGATTGACAGGTGGATTGCCGCTGATGTCATTACTAGCCGTTTGTCTTCTAGCGTTAGCATCACGTCACCTCAGCTAATCCGCCTCGCTGCACATTTCCGGTTATCCACTTCGCCCGGCTCCGCCCACTTTGGGCTTTAAAAACGCTCTTCAGAAACACTACGGGTGACGTCACGCACAATACGCCCATATTTTTTACAGTATATGGTTCACACTTGTAGTTCAGTTCTATTGGTCTGGAAAATAATACATTTAGTCACTTAGCATTCACACTGTCATTTTTAACACCCAACTTGAAGATAAAAATCTAAAAATGGTATATTTGGTGACGGGACTTAATAGCGAACATCCGAAACAATATTATTTCTTATTAGCTTTTTATTAGCCTTTTCTAAAAACTCACATGACATGGGCTTAGAAAATATTTCATAAAAACTTCAGATTTTAAATGAAGAATGACCACACTTGTGTCTTCAGTTTCATTGTGTTTCTAAATTGCTACACTACAGCCACATCATATTTGTATACATTCAAAATACTATTAATATAATAATGTTAATATATTTTTGTTTTGTTTTTATGTTTGAGATTATACATCTAAATTAATTTCAGAGTAATTCTGAACTGTCCTGAACTGTAAACTCTCAAGTATTGGCTTTCTATATATATATGTTGGTTATGTGTATATTCACAATGACTAATGAGCTTTTATTTTGGATATGTCATTTATGCCTCACTTGCCAAAATGGGGGGTTAAAAATATTTCAGACTATTACGTTATTCGTAGTGCTTCACTGAAGTGGGCGGAGCTCTTTTGGTGTAGTTTGCTTGTCATGATTCTCTGATTGGTGGAGATTTCTCTGCAGAATCATGGGTAATGTTAGCCCGGGAAAACCCAGACGAACTTCCGGCAAATTTGAGATTTGCTCTGCAAGTCAGTCTGGCCAAGAGCCCATTCAAGCCCATTTCCAATCTTTGCAAATCGAGGCACCAATCACAAACTTTGAGGCGGGCTTTACACGATGACGATCGCTCTGATTGGTTTTAGGTCTATCTAATTGACGTCTGTTGGTGACGCCCCTTTGGGAATGAAGCTTCCCCAGACCCACAGTTACGACTGAGAAGGGTCTGTGTCCACCATGCTAGGGTAATGTAGTTTTTCACCAGGAATTATGCTCCTAAATGTGATTTTTCTGTTATCCGGGAGTGACACGCTGCCAAGATGGCGACGGCCGGCTCCGCCCACTTTGGGCTTCAGAACCTACGAGTGACGTCACGGACACTACGCACATACAGGGTTTTTTATGGGTTTAAGGCTGAAGCCGCACATCACCCGATCCTCCGAGCTTCACTCACTTGACCAGGAACTTGACCGGGAGGAACCATGGGAATCCGCAGTAGGGCAGCTGGTCCTGGCAGTGTGTGCGGATGCTGTCGTTGATCTCTGGGATATGAGGAGTGATGTGCTGCATCCCGGTGTAATCCAGACTGTTGACCCATAATCCCGAGTCGGAGCTCTGCAGAGACCCGTCCAGCGCGTGGAACCTGCGTGTGGTGTGCTGAAAACACACACACACACACACACACACACACACACACAAACAGAACCAGTGTTGGGGAAAGTTGTAAAGTAATACATTACAATATTGCGTTTCCTAGTTACTTTTTTAGAAAAGTAATACGTTACTGTACTTTTGCGTTATTTTTCCCCACCTGGGCTGGGCTTGTTTTTTTATAACAAAAAAATGAATATTTTTAGGCAAATGTAAAGACCTAATCCTCAGGCTCAAGAAAATGCAGATTCACTCGTGTACAGTAGAGTAGAGTACCGTACAGTAAAGTACAGTAGAGTACAGTATAGTACAATAGAGTACCGTAAGGTAGAGTACCGTACAGTGGCGTTCAGTACAGTAGAGTAAAGTACAGTAGAGAAGAGTAAAGTAGAGTAAAGCACAGTAGAGTACAGTAAAGTAGAGTGCAGTAGAGTAGAGTACAGCACAGTAGAGTACAGTAGAGTACAGTAGAGTACAGCACAGTAGAGTAGAGTGCAATAGAGTAGAGTGCAGTACAGTAGAGTAGAGCACAGTAGAGTACAGTAGAGTACAGTAGAGTAGAGTGCAATAGAGTAGAGTGCAGTACAGTAGAGTAGAGCACAGTAGAGTACAGTAGAGTACAGTAGAGTAGAGTGCAATAGAGTAGAGTGCAGTACAGTAGAGTAGAGTCCAGTACAGTAGAGTACAGCACAGTAGAGTACAGTAGAGTGCAGTAGAGTAGAGTGCAGTAGATTAGAGTGCAGTACAGTAGAGTACAGTAGAGTAGAGTCCAGTACAGTAGAGTGCAGTAGAGTAGAGTGCAGTACAGTAGAGTAGAGTACAGCACAGTACAGCACAGTAGAGTACAGTAGAGTGCAGTAGAGTAGAGTATAGCACAGTAGAGTAGAGTACAGCACAGTACAGCACAGCACAGTAGAGTACAGTAGAGTGCAGTAGAGTAGAGTGCAGTACAGTAGAGTAGAGTACAGCACAGTAGAGTACAGTAGAATACAGTAGAGTAGAGTCCAGCACAGTAGAGTACAGTAGAATAGAGTGCAGTACAGTAGAGTAGAGTACAGCACAGTAGAGTGCAATAGAGTAGAGTGCAGTACAGTAGAGTAGAGTGCAGTAGAGTAGAGTACAGCACAGTAGAGTACAGTAGAGTAGAGTGCAATAGAGTAGAGTGCAGTACAGTAGAGTACAGCACAGTAGAGTACAGTAGAGTAGAGTACAGTAGAGTAGAGTCCAGTACAGTAGAGTACAGCACAGTAGAGTACAGTAAAGTGCAGTAGAGTAGAGTGCAGTAGAGTAGAGTACAGTACAGTAGAGTACAGCACAGTAGAGAATAGTAGAGTAGAGTCCAGTACAGTAGAGTACAGTAGAGTACAGCACAGTAGAGTACAGTAGAGTGCAGTAGAGTAGAGTGCAGTAGAGTAGAGTACAGTACAGTAGAGTACAGCACAGTAGAGTACAGTAGAGTGCAGTAGAGTAGAGTGCAGTACAGTAGAGTACAGCACAGTAGAGCACAATAGAGTGCAGTAGAGTACAGTAGAGTACAGCACAGTAGAGTACAGTAGAGTCCAGCACAGTAGAGTGCAGTAGAGTAGAGTGCAGTACAGTAGAGTAGAGTACAGCACAGTAGAGCACAGTAGAGTACAGTAGAGTAGAGTCCAGTACAGTAGAGTGCAGTAGAGTAGAGTGCAGTACAGTAGAGTAGAGTACAGCACAGTAGAGCACAGTAGAGTACAGTAGAGTAGAGTCCAGTACAGTAGAGTGCAGTAGAGTAGAGTGCAGTACAGTAGAGTAGAGTACAGCACAGTAGAGCACAGTAGAGTACAGTAGAGTAGAGTCCAGTACAGTAGAGTGCAGTAGAGTAGAGTGCAGTACAGTAGAGTAGAGTACAGCACAGTAGAGCACAGTAGAGTACAGTAGAGTAGAGTCCAGTACAGTAGAGTGCAGTAGAGTACAGTAGAGTAGAGCACAGTACAGTACAGTAGAGTAGAGTGCAGTACAGTAGAGTAGAGTACAGCACAGTAGAGTACAGTAGAGTAGAGTAGAGCGCAGTACAGTAGAGTAGAGTACAGCACAGTAGAGTACAGTAGAGTAGAGTGCAATAGAGTAGAGTGCAGTACAGTAGAGTAGAGTGCAGTAGAGTAGAGTACAGCACAGTAGAGCACAGTAGAGTACAGTAGAGTAGAGTCCAGTACAGTAGAGTGCAGTAGAGTACAGTAGAGTAGAGTACAGCACAGTACAGTACAGTAGAGTAGAGTGCAGTACAGTAGAGTACAGCACAGTAGAGTACAGTAGAGTACAGTAGAGCGCAGTACAGTAGAGTAGAGTACAGCACAGTAGAGTACAGTAGAGTAGAGTGCAATAGAGTAGAGTGCAGTAAAGTAGAGTAGAGTGCAGTAGAGTAGAGTACAGCACAGTAGAGTACAGTAGAGTAGAGATCAGTAGAGTACAGTAGAGTAGAGTGCAGTACAGTAGAGTACAGTACAGCACAGTAGAGTAGAGTGCAGTACAGTAGAGTACAGTAGAGTAGAGTGCAGTACAGTACAGTACAGCACAGTAGAGTGCAGTAGAGTGGAGTCAAGTACAGTAGAGTAGAGTAGAGCACAGTAAAGTAGAGTAGAGTACAGTAGAGTAGAGTGCAGTAGAGTAGAGTAAAGTGGAGTACAGTAGAGTACAGTAAAGTAGAGTACAGTATAGTACAGTAAAGTAGAGTGCAGTAGAGTAGAGCACAGTAGAGTAGAGTGCAGTAGAGTAGAGTACAGTAAAGTGGAGTACAGTAGAGTACAGTGCAGTAGATTAGAGTACAGTACAGTAGAGTACAGTACAGTAGAGTAGAGCACAGTAGAGTAGAGTGCAGTAGAGTAGAGTACAGTAAAGTGGAGTACAGTATAGTACAGTAAAGTAGAGTGCAGTAGAGTACAGTACAGTAGAGTACAGTACAGTAGAGTACATACAGTAGAGTAGAGCGCAGTAGAGTAGAGTGCAGTAGAGTACAGTACAGTAGAGTACAGTAGAGTACAGTACAGTAGAGTAGAGCACAGTAGAGTAGAGTGCAGTAGAGTAGAGTACAGTAAAGTGGAGTACAGTATAGCACAGTAAAGTAGAGTGCAGTAGAGTACAGTACAGTAGAGTACAGTAGAGTACAGTACAGTAGAGTACAGTACAGTACAGTAGAGCACAGTAGAGTAGAGTGCAGTAGAGTAGAGTACAGTATAGTACAGTAAAGTAGAGTGCAGTACAGGGCGCTGCTCAAGCGCTTAACAACAACAACAACAACAACAACAACAACAACAAAAAAACTATAGTCATTTTTGCTTATGGGTTTAATTCAAGCGTGATTACATAACTCAAGTTACCTGTAATGAGTTTCCCCCAACACTGGACACAACTACTGTAATAATCCATTCAGGTGTGCATCATGTTAAAATAAAATGAAAATATTTTGTTTTTTTGCAACTAGCTGAAATAATGAATATATATACGGTGTATATATATGAAAACTTATTCTCAGGTAATGTTTATTTTATTTCAAGTCAGGACAATATTTCATGGTTTGAGTTTCAGTAAACTCTAATAACGGATCAGTGACGACGATACCTGCACAAAGACTCGTTTGGGTCGAGGACTGGACGGGTCACCAGAGTACGGGAAGAACAGACCACAGCAGACCAGAACAAACATCAGCGTGAACACTGACCCCAGACCAGCCAGCATCCGCTTCGTGCTGTGCGACAGATAGATGAAATGCATCTGGAGAGAGAGAGAGTTTTAGAAACACTTTATTTTTTACACATTTTTTACATTCCTAATTCAAACATCATATCCCAAAAACATAGAAAGGCAATTAAGATTAGTTTGAACTTGACTGTTTCAATTTGGCTGTTTGAATTTGAATATGAATATTTCAATTTAAATATCTGAATTTAGCTGTTTGAGTTTGACTTTAAATGTTTCAATTTGAATGTTTCAATTTTATTGCTTGAATGTTTGAATTTGAATGTTTGAACGACAGTTTGAATTTGGCTGTTTGAATGTTTGAATTTGAATGTTTGAATTTGACGGTTTGAATTTGAATGTTTGAATTTGCCTTTTTGAATTTGACTGTTTGAATTTGACTGTTTGAATGTTTGAATTTGACGGTTTGAATTTGGCTGTTTAAATGTTTGAATTTGACTGTTTAAATTTGACTGTTTGAATTTGGCTGTTTGAATGTTTGAATTTGAATGTTTGAATTTGACTGTTTGAATTTGACTGTTTGAATTTGGCTGTTTGAATGTTTGAATTTGACGGTTTGAATTTGACGGTTTGAATTTTAATGTTTGAATTTGAATGTTTGAATTTGACTGTTTGAATTTGACTGTTTGAATTTGATGGTTTGAATTTGACTGTTTGAATTTGAATTTACTATGTTAGTAACTAACATTTACTCACAAAATAGGAAGACAGAATCACGGTTGCCAGGGTAACAATTGATGCCAGGACGACATCTGGTGGTATTTCGGTTCCGCTGCGGCCCAGGATTGGTGTGAAGATCTCAAAAACCACCCAGATGAGGAACATGATGTGGACATAAGGCACGGTGAGACCCACGAGGTACAGGACAGAGTACTGCAGAGATGCTCCTGCACACACACACACACACACACACACACACCACTAATCAGCACAACAGCCATGTGTCGACCTCATTTAAACATCAGAGCCCTGATTTCTGCCCTTTGACCCCATCCTGAGCTAAAACTACTGCTGACCAGAGACCTGAAACACCCTAAAGGTACGGCAAAATAAAAGTCCAGTTTTAATACAAATATTGGGTAATTATGATGCAATTGAAATACTATTATATATTTGCATACAGGCATTATATATTTAAAAATATATATAAATATTTTTTTCAAATACAGAATTAAACAATTGGCTTTTATTTTGACATTGTACTTAAGCCAAAGCAAAACACTGAAATATTACATTAAAAATATTTACTTTGTATAACGGTGATAGCAAATTATTTTTTCTAAACACTATTAATTTATAGACCTGAATGAATGAATGTTTTAAAATGTTGTATTGTATAACACTTAAAATATCACAAAAATATCATAATATATAATTAATACCTTAAGGAACCATGACAGCTGTAAAACAAAATGCCTGAAATAAATACACCAAATAAGCTTCATCTCAGAGGAATAATGTAAAGAATCGTGTGTGTGTGTGTGGTGTGACCTCTGACCTCTGGCTCTGAAGTGTTTTCTGAGCATCAGTTTGCTGGCGAGCGGAAACACCACCATCATCATGGGAACGTACGCTGAACACAACCCTCGCTGAGTGAGGAAGAGCAGCGCACAACACCACAACAGCAGACTCACGTCGAAGAACAGCTCGGACAGATACACACGACTCGCGCTCTGAACACACACACACACAGAGAGAGAGAGAGAGAGAGAGAGAGAGAGAGAGAGAGAGAGAGAGAGAGAGAGAGAGAGAGAGAGACAGAATATTCAACTATTCGTTTCCTTCTCTGTGGGCCAGCGCAGCGCTTCTGTGTTGTACGTCACACGCATCACACACACATGACCAGCGTCGGCCAATAGTGAGCCTGCGTGTGACGTACAACAACAGAAGCGCTGCACTGTTACACTAGAGAACTCACTCGAGGCCCACAGAGAAGGAAATGAATAGTTGAATAAAGTCGTTATTTTTGTTTGTTTTCTTGCGCACAAAAAGTATTCTCGTCGCTTGATAAACTTAAGATTGAGCCGCTGTAGTCACTCGGACTATTTTAACGATGTCTTTAATAACTTTTGGGCCGGCAAGTTTCAATCCCTTAGAACAGTGGTTCTCAAAGTGGGGTCCGCGGACCCCTGGTGGTCCGTGAACTATAGCCAGGGGGTCCGCGAAATAATTTATAACAGCCTACCGTTTTTCCCGACTATAAGTCATCTTTTCTTTAGCATCTGAAAACTTGCTATTTATTCCAAAGTGACTTATATAATGCATTTAATGTCAAATAATAAAAAAGTAGGCTCTTAAAGGTTTATATAGATAGATATTCTATCTATATTTCTTATGTCTGTGCGTCAAGTATTCGCTGTATTTTGGTCGATTTTTGGGCACGTGCGCCAGAAAGGAGACAGAGACGGCAGAACGCGCATCCTGTTGTGTTCTTTATTTTTAAAAGGCATGACATTTTGTAGTCATTTTTAATGTATACACAAATAAAAAATAGACACTTTGCCGTTTTGAATGATGTACTCTTATCTGTATGACCACACCACTGCTGAGGAAAAATCCAAGTGTTCGCGCCGGCGTCTCATGTGCGCGCACAATATGTCAGTTCTAGCACTGCTAATTTGACATCAAAACCTGTTCATTATCAAAATAAAATACTCACCGAACTTATAAAAAGTTCTGCTTAATTTAATTTGTCTGTTGTACACTATGAAGGCAGAGACGGTCAATCATATACTGTCGACTTGCTGTTGTTCCAATCTCATTTCTCCAAATGTGAAGATGCTGATACGTGTAGGCCTATATTGGGACTGAAGCATGAAGCTTTCTTTACATAAATAGTTAAGCTTCCAAATGTTAGGCTACATCGCAAATATGGAAACTTTGGACCGAATGAGAGATGCACGAGCCCAACGTCTGCAGTTTCAGTTTCGATTCAACTTAATTCGTTTAGAGACTTGATGTTTTAAATAAATGTTGTCTGTATACTATTATTATTTGTATTATTATCTATTAATAGTATTATTTTTCATTCTTGTTTTGTTCTGAATACCATTAATTTAAGGATTTGCTGTGGAGTGAGGGGAAGTAGGCCTACTACGCCTCAAGAACGCAACAAAGTATTACACACTCAGGTCCAACTTATTTTCTGGAGAATACAGTAAATTATAAATTTGTGCATAGGGACAGGGTCGTATACCCACAATTGAGGTCCCTGAGGTCCGGGCCTCTGTAATTTTTCTATGTGTATAATGAAAGTTGTGAAATAATTGCCTAATATTAACTCTAATTTGGTGCTGCAAGGATATTAAACATCGCGATGATAACTGACCTTCTCATCTGAGCGGTTTCAGCAGACTAACAGCGCTCGTCAATGTCAATGTTTGAGTCGGAGATTAAATCAAAGTAGGCGGGTTTATGTTCACAGAAGCTGCAAGCCGAGCGCGAATTTCCGCATGACGCTTCAGTTATTCGGTCATAAAGTGCGAGATGAGATGTAAATCGCTAAACTAAACAGCTGTTTTAGATAGAAGTTTTAAACAAACGACAGAAACAATCAGTTTGCAAAGTATCAACCGGGAAAGGAAATATAGGGGATAGCGGGGCACAACGTAAATCCCAGTTGTGCAAGTGGGTCATGTTGTCACACTGCGTTACAATGAATATGTTTTGAACTATGTTGTATAGCTGTGTGTTCGTTGTCAAACTCAAAAATTAGTTTATTTTTAATTGTTTTAAAATGCCATTATTTTATATGAAAAAGTTAATAATTGTATTTTATTGAGAAAATATTTTTGTTTGTCTTGTATATTTGTTTGATTAGATCAGATAACATTTTAATCTGTCATATGGTCATGTTACAATGTGCCCCACCTATGGGACATGTTGTCACATTGCACTTCCATTCTTTCTGGGTATATCAAGAAAAAAGTACAATTTTTGGCCTTAAAAACACCTTAAAATGCACGTGTAGATCAAGAAAATCTAAAATTCCTCGGGGGGGCATGCCCCCGAACCCCCCTAGCAAGTTCACTTTTGGGACCTCAGTAGGCTATTTAGAAATTCCTGCATATGACCCTGGGTGGAGACTATTTGTGTCAAAATATTTCATTAACCACTCCCACATTAACTTTAGGCTCAGTCACTGTTATAAATATGAGGGGGTCCTTGGAAATGTTTTTCCCCTGTAAGGGGTCCCTGGCTCCAAAATGTTTGAGAACCCCTGCCTTAGAAGCCTATGTAGGAGTGATCCAGCTCTCAGATTTAATCAGAAATATCTTCATTTGTGTCCCGAAGATGAACGAAAGTCTTACGGGGTTGAACATGACAATAAACACACACTGACTGTGTCTCAGCCAATCAGAGCGCAGCAGGAGTCGGACGTCAGCCGAGGATCAACTAGAGCAGATATTTTACAGTATGTGTATTTACAGTGTACTTACCCAAGAAATTAAGTTTCAAGTTTGAGTTTAATTAATTTATAAAGCACATTTAAAACAGCCACAAGACTGGCCAAAGTGCTGTACAGGACAACTAAATACAGATCCGAAATATATACACTTTAATACACACAAATATAATATAATATACACATTTTAAAAAATGTATAATAAAAATAAATCAATTCGCCAGAGAAAACAAATACGTTTCTAAAAGAGAATTAAAAATGGTCTAAACGGGAAGTAATGAACGCATGAACTGCCGTCTCCAGTGTTTCGTCAGTTAGGAAGTGTTTCATTTTAGACAAAAGACGAGTTTATAGAAACTAGATCCAGTTACCGAAGTTTTAAAGTTTTACTAGTACTGGTAATATAAGGTAAATGCATGGGTTAGGGTTCGGTTTAGGGGCTAGTGCAGTTATTACCCAGTTATTGTCACTGCTATATTAAGTACATAGTGTGTACATGTGGAACAGGAGTGTAAAATAATATTTCAGCACAAGCCACATGCTCTTTAACACAGTGTGTGTTTGTGTGTGTGTGAGAGGTTACTGTCCTCGACTGACGCTCTGATACGCTGAAACACACACACATATTTATCAGTCTTTATCTGATCTGACTTCAGCTCGTATCACACACACTCATGTCAGTCTCTGGGTTAGAGGCAGCAAATGTGTGAAAGATGACGTTTTGATTGACAGATCCATCACAACAACTGAAGATTTTGTTTAAAATCTTTAAATTGATCAAAAGTGACACTTATAATGTGACAAAAGATTCTATTTCAAATAAATGCTGTTCTTATTAACTTTCTATTCATTAAAGAATCCTGAACAATAAAATGCATTGATTTTCAACATTGATAATAATCATAAATGTTTATGAGCATCAGATCATCATTTTAGAGTGATTTGTGAAGGATCATGTGACACTGAAGACTGGAGTAATGATGCTGAAAATTCAGCTTTGATCACAGGAATAAATTACACTTTACTGTATATTCACATAGCAAACAGATGTTTTACACTGGAATAATATTTCACTGTTTTTACTGTATTGTTGATCAAAAAGATGAGCAGAAGAACCATAAAATCTCAATACTTGTGATAAGAAATCCATCAAACCTCAGAGAAATGAAGAATGGAGAAATGACCCGCTGATATTGTGTGACCTGAATATATTCTAATAACTAATCTGGGAAATTAAAGTGTAACTTTACAAACACAAGAAAGCAGCTTCAATGATTGACAAATAATGTAAGATTGCGCAAACAAACACTTTCTTCATTCTTTCATAATATATTACTATGTATATTATATATATTACTACAATTTTGATGAGCTCATATTAACTGAGAGACTAAATGGAATATTTGTACTTTTATTAAATCACATTAAGCTGTTTAAATGGACTAACAAAGCTTAGATGCAACAGTGCCGAGTCACAGCATCTGAACCGCACATTTAAAACTAGAAACTGGATCAATAAAAAACGGTGTTGATTAGACGCAGCTGTGAACTCTGGGTAACTGGGTCATTAGTAAGACCCTCGGTGACATTGACGAGCACAAGCTCAAACACAAACCCATAAGAGAGCTGTAATGTCCTGACTCGAGGCGCTAGAACGGGACACTCAGTAACCAGCGCTGAGGCTTTCACAGACGTCCTGAAACATGTAGAGCCGCCTCAGTGCGCTCGGGTTACACCAGCTCACGGTTAACAAGTAGAATAATGAGGAAAACTCTCTTATTTAAAAATCTTCTTATCCACCAATTTAAAGGAAAGGTGTGCATGTTTTGTAAAGTAACTTTTGTTGTAATTTTATGAGTGCTGGGTACAATTTTATGTAAGATTTTGAGTTTTATGTTTGTATATTGTATATGTGAAACTTTTCGTGCTGCCATTTTGGCCAGGACTCCCTGGAAGAAGAGATTTTTATCTCAATGGGACTATCCTGGTAAAATAAAGGATAATTTAAAAAAAAAAAAAGATCCCGACGCTGGTCTGATCAGCTCAGCATAATATTAGCCAGCATGTCAGTTATTATCAGTCATGAAATTTATTATTACAAATGTATATAAATTGATTATTTAAATATATATATTTTAAAATGTAAATTTTAGTATTATAGTATATACTAGTATTATTTAAATAATACTAATGATTTTGCATTAAAATTGATAAGTAAATAAAATATATTTTTATTTATTTAAATAATACTAATGACTTAACACTTAAATAAATAATTAGATTATTATTATTATTTATCAAAATAATGCTACTGATTACTTTTTTTTAAAACGCATAAATAAATGAAAAAATATTTTATTTTTATTTTAGGCAGCATATCAGTTATCACTTATCAATGAAAACATGACTTATAAAAAAAAGATAAATAGATTGATTTTTTAAATAAATAGATATATATATATTAAATTTATTTCAATAATGGCACTGACCTGTCATTAAAATAGTTAAGGAAATAAATAAAGTATTATTTGTATTTATTTAGATAATGTCACTGATTTGACATTTAAAAAAATTATATTATTATCATTATTATTATTAATTATTTATTTAAATGATGTTATTGACTTGATATTTAAAAAAATACATAAATACATATTTTTATTTAGATAATACTATTGATTTGACATTTAAATAATAAATAATAATAATAATAATATAATTAATAAAAAAAAAATATATATTTATTTCAATAATGCTATTGATTTAAAAACAGGTATGAAATAAATAAATAAATCTGTGCTGTATTTGTTTTAAATAATTCTACTGCTTTGGGCAAAATAAATAAATGCTATTTATTCAATAATGCTACTTATTCTGCATAAAAATTGTATTTGTTTAAATAAAGCTACTGCTTTGGCATAAAATATTTGCTTTAGGTTTACATCCGTTGGGTTCACTGACATCAGTGTCAAACTGACATCATCAAAGTGTGACATCACTAACTTCCGTCAATCAGCAGATGAGCTCATGTTTGAGAACTCGTGTGTGTGTGTGTGTGTGTGTGTGTGTGTGTGTGTGTGTGTGTGTGTGTGTGTGTGTGTGTGTGTGTGTGTTTTGTCCCCTCACTCACCCCGTAGTACAGGTTCTTGGCCAGCGTGTGTATCAGCAGGATCTTGCCGGCGGCGACGGATCCGTACAGACAGACGGCGGCGTAGAAGTGTGTGTACCAGAACATGGAGCGACCCGTCAGTGTGACGAGCAGAGCCACGATCAGAACCGCCAGCAGAGCCACGACCCAGCCCAGGAGCACCACACACACCGCACACGCCAGATCACGTGTGTACCGCCCGCCTGTGGGAGAACACACACACACACACATCAGATCACACACACCGCACACGCCAGATCACGTGTGTACCGCCCGCCTGTGGGAGAACACACACACACACACATCAGATCACACACACCGCACACGCCAGATCACGTGTGTACCGCCCGCCTGTGGGAGAACACACACACAAACATCAGATCACACACATCAGATCACACACACCGCACACACACACACACACACATCAGATCAAACACACCGCACACGCCAGATCACGCATGTACCACCCGCCTGTGGGAGAACACACACACACACACACATCAGATCACACACACCGCACACGCCAGATCACGTGTGTACCGCCCGCCTGTGGGAGAACACACACACAAACATCAGATCACACACATCAGATCACACACACCGCACACACACACAAACACACATCAGATCACACACACCGCACACACACACAAACACACATCAGATCACACACACCGCACACGCCAGATCACGTGTGTACCGCCCGCCTGTGGGAGAACACACACACAAACATCAGATCACACACACCGCACACACACACACACACACATCAGATCACACACACCGCACACGCCAGATCACGTGTGTACCGCCCGCCTGTGGGAGAACACACACACACACACAAACATCAGATCACACACATCAGATCACACACACCGCACACACACACACACACACACATCAGATCAAACACACCGCACACGCCAGATCACGCATGTACCGCTCGCCTGTGGGAGAACACACACACAAACACACATCAGATCACACACACCGCACACGCCAGATCACGTGTGTACCGCCCGCCTGTGGGAGGACACACACACACACACAAACATCAGATCACACACACCGCACACGCCAGATCACGTGTGTACGTGTGTACCGCCCGCCTGTGGGAGGACACACACACACACACAAACATCAGATCACGCACACACCAGATCACGTGTGTACCGCCCGCCTGTGGGAGGACACACACACACATCAGATCAAACACACCGCACACGCCAGATCACGCATGTACCGCCCGCCTGTGGGAGAACACACACACACACACATCAGATCACACACACCGCACACGCCAGATCACGTGTGTACCGCCCGCCTGTGGGAGGACACACACACACACACAAACATCAGATCACACACACCGCACACGCCAGATCACGCATGTACCGCCCGCCTGTGGGAGAACACACACACACACACACATCAGATCACACACACCGCACACGCCAGATCACGCATGTACCGCCCGCCTGTGGGAGAACACACACACACACACACACACACACATCAGATCACACACACCGCACACGCCAGATCACGGGTGTACCGCCCGCCTGTGGGAGAACACACACACACACAAACATCAGATCACACACACCGCACACGCCAGATCACGTGTGTACCGCCCGCCTGTGGGAGAACACACACACACACACACACACATCAGATCACACACACCGCACACGCCAGATCACGCATGTACCGCTCGCCTGTGGGAGAACACACACACACAAACATCAGATCACACACACCGCACACGCCAGATCACGTGTGTATCGCCCGCCTGTGGGAGAACACACACACACACAATCACACACACCGCACACGCCAGATCACGTGTGTACCGCCCGCCTGTGGGAGAACACACACACACACACATATCAGATCACACACACCGCACACGCCAGATCACGTGTGTATCGCCCGCCTGTGGGAGAACACACACACAAACACACATCAGATCACACACACCGCACACGCCAGATCACGTGTGTACCGCCCGCCTGTGGGAGAACACACACACACACAATCACACACACCGCACACGCCAATCACGTGTGTATCGCCCGCCTGTGGGAGAACACACACACACACAATCACACACACCGCACACGCCAGATCACGTGTGTATCGCCCGCCTGTGGGAGAACACACACACACACAATCACACACACCGCACACGCCAGATCACGTGTGTATCGCCCGCCTGTGGGAGAACACACACACACCGCACACGCCAGATCACGTGTGTACCGCCCGCCTGTGGGAGAACACACACACACACACATATCAGATCACACACACCGCACACCACAGATCACGTGTGTATCTCCCGCCTGTGGGAGAACACACACACACACACATCAGATCACACACACCGCACACGCCAGATCACGTGTGTACCGCCCGCCTGTGGGAGAACACACACACACACAATCACACACACCGCACACGCCAGATCACGTGTGTACCGTGATATCATGAAATCAAACTGGCGCCGGACCGATGTCTGGTCATGTGACCATCACGTACCCTCACTGCTGGTCATCATGCACTTCCTGCCCAGGTAGATCACCGTGGCGACGGCCGCCATGAGGTTGATGATGGTGCCGACGCGCGCGGGATACGCCACCACCGTCAGTCCCAGCAGGTCGAAGAACACCATGTTACCGTGGCGATACTCCGAGGAATCCGCCAGCTCATCCGACATCACCAGGTGCAGGAGCACCGACAGGATGTTGTCGCCTTGGTGACAGAGACAAACAGGAAGTGCGTTATTCTCAAAGCGACTGATGCATATACGTGATCTGTCAGTCTGTCTATATAAAACAGGATTAAATCTTTACAGTTTGTTAAATATCAGATCAATCTGTTCCGAATCGCTCTGGGGTGTGTTCCCCGAAAGCATCGTTTGCTAACTATGAGTTCTGTCGTTATCAGCAGTTCAACGAGTCGTGTTTCCCAAAACCATCGTTTCAAAGAACATTCACAAACAGCGTCGCAGAGTTGTGTGTGTGAGCCACAGATATCGAGCTGCGGTTAGAAGCAGTTTCATGTTTGCATGACATGTGACTCAATAACTCCTGATCTTGAGGAAAATAAGCAAAATGACATTCAGTGCAACCTGTGAACGAGCTCTAGTGTGTGTGAACGAGCTTTAATGTGTGTGAACGAGCTCTAGTGTGTGTGAACGAGCTCTAGTGTGTGTGAACGAGCTCTAGTGTGTGTGAACGAGCTCTAGCGTGGCATCATTAACCAGCGTGACATCATTAACCAGCGTGACATCATTAACCAGCGTGACTGACATCATTAACCAGCGCGACATCATTAACCAGCGTGACATCATTAACCAGCGTGACATCATTAACCAGCGTGACTGACATCATTAACCAGCGCGACATCATTAACCAGCGTGACATCATTAACCAGCGTAACTGACATCATTAACCAGCGCGACATCATTAACCAGCGTAACTAACCAGCGTAACTGACATCATTAACCAGCGTGACATCATTAACCAAAGCGACATCATTAACCAGCGCGACATCATTAACCAGCGTGACATCATTAACCAAAGCGACATCATTAACCAGCGCGACATCATTAACCAGCGTGACATCATTAACCAGCGTGACATCATTAACCAGCGCGACATCATTAACCAGCGCGACATCATTGACCAGCGCAACATCATTAACCAGCGCGACATCATTAACCAGCGCGACATCATTAACCAGCGTGACTGACATCATTAACCAGCGCGACATCATTAACCAGCGTGACATCATTAACCAGCGTGACATCATTAACCAGTGCGACATCATTAACCAGCGCGACATCATTAACCAGCGTGACTGACATCATTAACCAGTGCGACATCATTAACCAGCGCGACATCATTAACCAGCGCGACATCATTAACCAGCGCGACATCATTAACCAGCGTGACTGACATCATTAACCAGCGTGACTGACATCATTAACCAGCGTGACTGACATCATTAACCAGTGCGACATCATTAACCAGCGTGACTGACATCATTAACCAGCGTGACTGACATCATTAACCAGCGCAACATCATTGACCAGCGCAACATCATTAACCAGCGCGACATCATTAACCAGCGCGACATCATTAACCAGCGTGACTGACATCATTAACCAGTGCGACATCATTAACCAGTGTGACATCATTAACCAGCGCGACATCATTAACCAGTGTGACATCATTAACCAGCGCGACATCATTAACCAGAGCGACTGACATCATTAACCAGCGTGACTGACATCATTAACCAGTGCGACATCATTAACCAGTGTGACATCATTAACCAGCGCGACATCATTAACCAGTGTGACATCATTAACCAGCACGAACATCATTAACCAGCGTGACTGACATCATTAACCAGCGCGACATCATTAACCAGTGTGACATCATTAACCAGCGCGACATCATTAACCAGTGTGACATCATTAACCAGCGCGACATCATTAACCAGCGCGACATCATTAACCAGCGTGACTGACATCATTAACCAGTGCGACATCATTAACCAGCGTGACATCATTAACCAGCGCGACATCATTAACCAGTGTGACATCATTAACCAGCGCGACATCATTAACCAGTGCGACATCATTAACCAGCGCGACATCATTAACCAGCGCGACATCATTAACCAGCGTGACTGACATCATTAACCAGCGCGACATCATTAACCAGCGTGACTGACATCATTAACCAGCGCGACATCATTAACCAGCGTGACTGACATCATTAACCAGCGTGACTGACATCATTAACCAGCGCGACATCATTAACCAGCGCGACATTATTAACCAGCGTGGCTGACATCATTAACCAGCGCGACATCATTAACCAGCGTGACTGACATCATTAACCAGCGCGACATCATTAACCAGCGCGACAGCATTAACCAGCGCGACATCATTAACCAGCGCGACAGCATTAACCAGCGCGACATCATTAACCAGTGTGACATCATTAACCAGCGCGACATCATTAACCAGCGCGACATTATTAACCAGCGTGGCTGACATCATTAACCAGCGCGACATCATTAACCAGCGTGACTGACATCATTAACCAGCGCGACATCATTAACCAGCGCGACAGCATTAACCAGCGCGACATCATTAACCAGCGTGACATCATTAACCAGCGCGACATCATTAACCAGCGCGACATTATTAACCAGCGTGGCTGACATCATTAACCAGCGCGACATCATTAACCAGCGTGACTGACATCATTAACCAGCGCGACATCATTAACCAGCGCGACATCATTAACCAGTGTGACATCATTAACCAGCGCGACATCATTAACCAGCGTGACATCATTAACCAGCGTGACTGACATCATTAACCAGCGCAACATCATTAACCAGCGTGACATCATTAACCAGCGTGACTGACATCATTAACCAGTGTGAATGACATCATTAACCAGCGCGACATCATTAACCAGCGTGACATCATTAACCAGCGTGACTGACATCATTAACCAGCGCGACATCATTAACCAGCGCGACATCATTAACCAGCGTGACTGACATCATTAACCAGCGCGACATCATTAACCAGCGTGACATCATTAACCAGCGTGACTGACATCATTAACCAGCGCGACATCATTAACCAGCGTGACATCATTAACCAGCGTGACTGACATCATTAACCAGCGCGACATCATTAACCAGCGTGACTGACATCATTAACCAGCGCGACATCATTAACCAGTGCGACATCATTAACCAGCGTGACTGACATCATTAACCAGCGTGACATCATTAACCAGCGTGACTGACATCATTAATCAGCGTGACATCATTAACCAGCGTGACATCATTAACCAGCGTGACTGACATCATTAACCAGTGTGACATCATTAACCAGCGCGACATCATTAACCAGCGCGACATCATTAACCAGCGTGACTGACATCATTAACCAGCGCGACATCATTAACCAGCGTGACATCATTAACCAGCGTGACTGACATCATTAACCAGCGCGACATCATTAACCAGCGTGACTGACATCATTAACCAGCGCGACATCATTAACCAGCGCGACATTATTAACCAGCGTGGCTGACATCATTAACCAGCGCGACATCATTAACCAGCGTGACTGACATCATTAACCAGCGCGACATCATTAACCAGCGCGACATCATTAACCAGCGCGACATCATTAACCAGCGTGACTGACATCATTAACCAGCGCGACATCATTAACCAGCGTGACATCATTAACCAGCGTGACTGACATCATTAACCAGCGCGACATCATTAACCAGCGTGACATCATTAACCAGCGTGACTGACATCATTAACCAGCGTGACTGACATCATTAACCAGCGCGACATCATTAACCAGCGTGACATCATTAACCAGCGTGACATCATTAACCAGCGTGACTGACATCATTAACCAGCGTGACATCATTAACCAGCGCGACATCATTAACCAGCGTGATTGACATCATTAACCAGCGCGACATCATTAACCAGCGTGACTGACATCATTAACCAGCGCGACATCATTAACCAGTGCGACATCATTAACCAGCGTGACTGACATCATTAACCAGCGTGACATCATTAACCAGCGTGACTGACATCATTAATCAGCGTGACATCATTAACCAGCGTGACATCATTAACCAGCGTGACTGACATCATTAACCAGTGTGACATCATTAACCAGCGCGACATCATTAACCAGCGCGACATCATTAACCAGCGTGACTGACATCATTAACCAGCGCGACATCATTAACCAGCGTGACATCATTAACCAGCGTGACTGACATCATTAACCAGCGCGACATCATTAACCAGCGTGACTGACATCATTAACCAGCGCGACATCATTAACCAGCGCGACATTATTAACCAGCGTGGCTGACATCATTAACCAGCGCGACATCATTAACCAGCGTGACTGACATCATTAACCAGCGCGACATCATTAACCAGCGCGACATCATTAACCAGCGCGACATCATTAACCAGCGTGACTGACATCATTAACCAGCGCGACATCATTAACCAGCGTGACATCATTAACCAGCGTGACTGACATCATTAACCAGCGCGACATCATTAACCAGCGTGACATCATTAACCAGCGTGACTGACATCATTAACCAGCGTGACTGACATCATTAACCAGCGCGACATCATTAACCAGCGTGACATCATTAACCAGCGTGACTGACATCATTAACCAGCGTGACATCATTAACCAGCGCGACATCATTAACCAGCGTGATTGACATCATTAACCAGCGCGACATCATTAACCAGTGTGACTGACATCATTAACCAGCGCGACATAATTTACATTTACATTTACATTTTACATTTATTCATTTAGCTGACGCTTTTATCCAAAGCGACTTACAATTGCTATATATGTCAGAGGTCGCACGCCTCTGGAGCAACTAGGGGTTAAGTGTCTTGCTCAGGGACACATTGGTGTCTCACAGTGGATTCGAACCCGGGTCTCTCACACCAAAGGCATGTGTCTTATCCACTGCGCCATCACCACCCGCATTAATTAACCAGCGCGACATCATTAACCAGTGCGACATCATTAACCAGCGTGACTGACATCATTAACCAGCGCGACATCATTATCCAGCGCGACATCATTAACCAGCGTGACTGACATCATTAACCAGTGCGACATCATTAACCAGCGTGACATC